GATGCCAGCAGAGTCACCCCTGACCAGCCCTTTGTGTGGGGAGAACGTGGCTGCCAGGGGCTGGGGGAATGCCGGCGGGAGAGACAGTGGTGTGCAGAAACGGAGACAGGATGGGGGCACACAGCCAAAGGGGCAGGGATGCCTCGGGGGGAGCAACACAGATTGACCTTTCTGGGTTATGGCTGGCGTGGGGGCCACTGGCAGACAGTGGGAGGATTGGACATGCCGAGCTGGGAGGTTGGGGGCACCGCCCGGCCATCTTTGGGTACTTCTAGAACCAGTTAAGAAGTGGGGCAGGATGGTCATTGGGAAAGACGGGTTTGGGTGTGAATACCAAGAAAACTGCCAGGTCCCTGCAAATCCTGACACCGTGGCATCCGTTACGCTCTGCTGCCTATCTGCTTCCGCAGAGTAATTAGCCGTTAAGGAAGCTGCAGCAGGGAGAGCCAGGAAGGGAGGCTCTGGGCGCTGGAGAAGGGTGCTGCTTTCCAATGTCAGCTGGGGAGAGGGGAGAGGGGAGGGGAAACTCGAGGCTCTGGGGCAGAACTGGGCGTTTCCTGGGAAGTGTGTGAGGCTGATGAGAAGGAATCCAGGTGTGAGAGCTGTGCAGGCCCAGGCTCTCCTGTCAAGACCGAGACAACAGGTGTGGAGCAGAGGGCGAGCAGGCTGCCTGACCTCAGGCTCAGCACCGACAGGACCCTCACGTCCTGGCCATCCAGGGTCCTGGTTCTCCTGGGCCGCTGCTCTGCTGAGCCTTCATTGCTGGGCTTTTCTTAGGTCCCCTGGGTTTGTACCCACCGTAACCAAAACCAAACCCATTGCCATCGAGTGCTTCAGATGCAGAGTGACCCTATGGGACGGCGCAGAACTGCCCCATGGAGTTTCCAAGGCTGTAATCTATACAGAAGCTGACTGCTACATCTTTCTCCCAAACAGCTGGTGGGTTTGAACTACCAGCCTTTTAATTAGCAGCCTAGCATTTAACAACTACACCACCAGGCTCCTATACCTGCCGTAAGTCATTATTTGCATGAGTTAGTCCCTTCAAACAACCAAACCTTCTAGAAACAAATTCTACCCTTTATTGGGCAGTTTATGTCCCTGGGTGCAAACGGTTAATGTGTCCCACTGCTAACAGAAAGGTTGGAGGTTTGAGTCCACCCAGAGGCCCCTCAGAAGAAAGGCCTGGTGATCTACTTCTGAAAAATCAGCTTTTGAAGACCCTACAGAGCCCAGTTCTACTCTGACGTACATGGGGTTGCCATGATTTGGAGTCGACAGCAACTGCATTGAGTACTCACTCTGTACCATGCTCCGCCAAGCGCCTTATATA